TTCTTTGAGACATCCTTCAAACTTCTTTGATTGTACTGGAAATTAAATAAGGAACGCTTGGTAGATTGAGTACCTGTGATAACAGCTGCGACAGTCCATTAAGCTATAGGTTCATCATTACGCACGGTGACAATTCCTTCCAGTTATCAGCGGAGAAAGCATTCAGGTATTGCTCACGTTGTTCATATTTACGGGGATTCCAACAGCTGAACGTTTTACGCAAGCCGCCCCCCTCTGCGAGGCCCTGAACTGTATTGTACGCAGTCGGTGTAGCCTGCGTGGCAGGCCCTCAAATTTATGGGGGGCCTGATTTGCAGCGGGCAGGGTTATGGCGCCCCGGAGCCCGCCAAAATCCTGCCCGCTGCAAATCAGGCCCCCCATAAATTTGAGGGCCTGCCACGCAGGCTACAGTCGGTGCTGAAGTGGTGTCTCATTGTCGACGCGTTTTATTTTGACTACAGCATCTTTTGTGAATCGCCAAATTGCCGCTTTGGCAAACCCACACGTATATGTGGGTGGATAAGAATTTTAACCACGCCAATCAAGCAGGATAATTTTATAATGTAGTCATTTGCGCGCTTCGAGATGCTACTCTATCGAAGCAAATTTTGAACCTGACGCTTAAATTTTCATTACGCACGCCTAATTTTGATAGATAATAACCTTTAGTTTACGTATAAATCAGGTTCTTCTTTCATTATTAATTCCACTCAAGAATTTATACTGCGCAATATTGTCGTCGAAGTTTACACTTATTTATTTAGCTTTTGCCCTATTTTGAGTAGCCTGTAGCCTACAACGTTTCTGTAAAGACTTTGCTCACAAATGGTTGTGTGCGTTCGGGTTTCACTTAAACAGTAATAGCGAACAAATGTATATACTTTCGGTGCATTAATTAAAATTACCCGTTTGAACCCGTGCGCAAAGCAAAATTTCTCCTGAAACTTGTAATATGCTTTTTGAGTTATTATGAACGCCATTTTGAGCGTCTCATTTGCCATGGATAGGCGAGGGACCGCACTATCTAGAATAAGGGCTCATTCGACAGAAATAGCGCATATTTTACGATCTACAGTTATTTTCACTCTGTATCTGTACTAACTTGGCGAATATTAAACTTCAATGGCCTTGTAGGAATTGGAAAGGATATTAAATCAGACACGTCGACTGGATATTGTATATCGTATTATAATTATAAAATAACTCCAAACAATTCGATCTAAAATGAAATTAAACAATTAAAGAGTATATGATGTAACTGACGTCTTAAATGAGAATAATATCTGGCTTGTCTTTGGAAAATATTACAAAGATTACACATAAACGCGCATATGATGACAATTTATATTCATATGATATAAACATTACTTACTTGTGTGGCAATATCCAGTACTTTACACTGTTTTACATGTTCAGGTTAGCATAACATCCGTACTGAATGTTCAAACTACAGGTTAGCAATCAGTTTTCAGGCCACTATAAAGTACAGATTTCGGTACCGTTTCGTGCAGGCATCTGGTTATTCTTGCGCTTTTTTGACATGCAGGCCTAATATCATATTTCTAAATGTCTGGCAAAGTATTTCTCAATCCTTATTGGCTCACTATTTTAATATTAACGTTTAATCTATATAGAAATGTTAAAATGTGCATGTAACAACGCGTGGTTTGACTTTGGACCTACAGTATTTTACGCTACAATAATACGACATTTTCACACAATCCAAGTTTGAATATTCAGTGTTCAATCTATTTGTAATTTAATAAGTTTCCGTGAGAACCCGCTAATTACTGCCCTGTAAGGCGGTCATTAAATGCCATGTTTTGTTACTATTTTTAGACTAATAACTGGTCACGTGACAGGTTTTTAAAACTTTTTGGTAGTTAAAAACTTTGTAAAATCGTGTTGAGAAAACCTAACTGTAAATAATTTCTTTTATTTTTCATGAGTTAATGTAAAGTGTGAAACTTGACCCAGTTATTGCATCTCAGTGCACAGCTCTCAAATGTAGTTTCGTAATGTTTTTTAAAACCATGTGAGAGCGCATAAATATTTGCTCAAATGACAAACATTTTTGGTGACAGAAGCAAGACTAACGAATTTTACGAGTATTGTACTTCTAAATGATATTCAAACTATATCGATTTATTCCTAGATTCCTGATTTAGAGGATAAATGAGTGCTTTCTCCGCATCGGCTGAAACAGGGGAAAATTGGACGGGTAAAATTTGCTTCTACCCTAATTCTCACGCACCAAATACAGTAATTAATTACAATATTGATGAAACACAACTCAGTCTTGGAGATGGGATAAAAAAACATCATTGATGAGAGCAAATTGATTGAAAGAAAATATTTGACGAGCTTGCACAATCAGAAAAACATCATGCAATAAATACATGCGCCAGAGTAGCATCGTAAGCACCAATGAACCACCGCAAGGAAGATCGAACATTCCAACCTCTGTACTACGGAATATTGGTAGTATAATATTGATAATATTTGTAATTTGAGGCTGTTCTTACAGGTATATAAACTACGTCAAGCGTGTTCCTCTATTGAGTTACTAAATTGATTGCAATTTTCCTCATTACCTTTGCAATTTAAAAATAAACCTTTGCAAATCCCTTGAGGAAATTTCCAATGTTGCTAAAAACCGATAAAATTTTCCTCACTTCATGTTAGAAGTTCTTTATAAGTTCCTGTTACAAGTTCCTAACTTCCTGTTACAAGTTCCTAACTTCCTGCTCTGTTCTGTTCTGTTCTGTTCTGTTCTGTTCTGTTCTGTTCTGTTCTGTTCTGTTCTGTTCTGTGCGTTGCAATTGGCTAATTATCATTTATAGACCCGGAGCGAGGGGGATTCGGCGTAATATTTCCCGAAGTGATGATATTTTCCGAGGGGCTTTGCCCCGAGGAAAATATCATCACTGAGGGAAATATCGCCGAATCCCCCGAGCGGAGGGTCTATAAATGATATATTATACCGAAAGTTAAAGAACTCACTAAGAGTCTATCAAGTTCAGAATAAACTTTAAAACTTGCTGAATATTAATAACTACGCGAATACAATTTTTAATTTCTTATCTATACCTGAGTTTTTGACGTTTTCTCCTTAAAATATTTGAGCAAGTATCCTTTGGATCGTTGAAAGTAACATACGTGTTGAAATATTTGGTTTACTTAATATTAAAATCTTCTGTAGTTCTGTACGAAATTAATACAAACATGCAACAGCTCGCGAACGCCATATTGTTTCAGAATTCAGAGCGTGGTGTCCACGCGTCGCGCGTGAGCGTGGGATACTATAATATCCCACGGTGGATCTGCCGTGGGATATTATAGTATCCCACGCTGGATTGCGAAATCATGAATTTGAGTGAAATACCGTAAAAAATCACACTATCACGTGGTACAAATGCTGTTTTTTCATTGGACAATTTGAATTTGAGGTATAATATTAAAAATAATCCACCAATTGCGCTCAAAACAGAACAGGAAGTCAGGAAATTAAAACAGGAAGTTAGGAAAATTCAAAAAGAAGTTTTTTTGCATTGGAATATTGCAACAGCCGATATGAACATTGCAAATTCCCTCAATGGATTTGCAAAGAGTTTTTCAAATTTGCAAAGCTAATAAGGAACATTCTAAATCATTTAGGAAGTCAAAAGAAGAATGCTTCACGTAGTTTACCTGTAACAATATTCACAGAGCACGCGAGGAGTGTTTTACTATATTACTGCACACGTATGATAAAAAACGACTATACAATATATTAATGCACGCGTAGCCGTAGGAGTTACTGTATTAATTCGACGGCACAGCCCGAACATTTTAAATATGATAAAAACACGACTATACACAATCAGCCAATTCATTGTCTCGAGCTTAAACTCTAAACCTTAAACTCTAAGCGCGCAGAGCTTAATGGGAGCAGCTATTTGTGAATGAATAGTCCTCGCCGGTAAGGAGATATTTACTGAAGATAATAAAATAATTATATCCTTTGCCTGTGATCCAGTGGCAAGCTAGCTATGGCAACTGGCCATGCTATGCAAATTTTAATATTAATTCTGAAGTCACACAAATGACCTGATGATGAAAGAGGAGAAAAGACTTTCAAATAAGACCAAATCCAATTATATACACCGAAGTTGCAAAAAAGCTGGGGGTATGCGGGTACCACCCGTGAGGAAGGTTTACCATGTGAGGTCAGTGGGAAGGAATCGTAACATATACATGTGCTAGCAGAACGCCAGCCTGTACACAGTTTATGTGTATGTGATTACAATGCAATTACCCAGCTGACCAATGCTAAATATATACTAGTCAAGAGGCAATTTTTTTCAATGTCACGTATTCGCAATGAAAAGTGTTCAAAACCGAAAATCTTGTTGGCGTTCCTCTCAAAATTGCTTTGTTTTAGTTTTACTCTCTAGTTTATACAGTTAGCTACCGTTTTAAATGCATCTGCCGGTTGAAAAAACATAAAATAATAGTAAAAAATTGTCAATTGAAATACAATTATCAATGACGCTTTAAAAGTGACGCCATATTTACAGCAATATAAGCCAAACTTGCTGAACTTCAGACATCATTTTCTCTTTGGAGTATCATCTAAAATCTCTTCATTTTGGTATTATTTTATAGATAAAAAACTAAACATACTTTTTAAAGTTTGTTTGCCGATTGAGAAACGTATCGAAAAATAAAATTCTTGGATGTATAGTCATAACAGCAAGTGGTATATTACACTCATTAGTTTTGAGCGCGTGTTACGTAACATACAAAAAAACTCCTCTTAAGCCGGTTTTCCACTTCAACCTTATCGCAACGTACCGTAGCATTTTCTTTTGTGTCCAAGTCATTAGTTCCACTCAAGTGGTCAGGAAACAAAAAAATACGCTACGCTTCGCTACGATACGATTGAAGTGGAAAACCGGCTTTAATACGATATAGGAATAAAAAGCCGATTCTGAATGAAAATATTTTTTTTTTGCAAATTGAAAAGGATTATCCACATTATTTTGAGGAAGGATTGAAAATCTGAAATTTTACCCGGAGGAACATTGATGACTTTTTGCAACTTTTTATATACTTTTTATGACACTTTGACACCGCGTTTTAAATACACCTTGACGTTTTCCTTCAATAAGAGCGGACTACTAACTTCTTAAAAAGTTATCAGGTAGAAAAATGAGGAAAAAACTGCTAAATTTAGATTGATAAATACTTATAGAAGTTACAGATTATAAAAAGTTAATTAATTTAAAGGAAGGTCTGCTTCAACCTTGACAATGTATTGTTGAATTTTATAAACCGTCCAAGTTGACATATATCTCAGTATTCAGTGTTACATCAAAGAATAATTCATTTCTCCACACGGCACCATATGCAGCCGAATTGGCCATTTTATCAACTTTTAAATTTACGCCAAGTACGTATATTCATCTTTGCTACCTCCTTTTCGTTCCAAATATTGTTTTTCGATCAGGGACTCGATGGCTTTCTAAAATATGGAAAAATGGTAATGTATGAGCAGCTGCAGACAGTGGCGGACACTTCACCAAATT